CACCCCACTTCACTATGTATTTATCATCATTACATGATTTCACAAGAAGATGTTGAAGATCAGGTGAATTTATCAATATATATGGAGGATTATACTCATTATGATAATTTGTACCTTTGGGATCATCAACAAATGAATTAATCATATCATGCACATATTTACGTGTGATATCAAGACGTTCATCATTCATCCAACAGTTCATTTGTATTTCTATTTATGTTTACATTATTTAAATGTTTTACCTCATGGGGAGGCTATGCCTCGCCCCGGGAAGTCTTCGGCTTCCCCCTACCTTACCTTGATATCCGTCTCACCCAATGTAGGCGAGTGTACAGATATATCACTCCCACTGTCGTCATCGGATCCATTCTTCTCATTGTACACGCACAGGCAGTGACATCTGTCCTTGCATTTCGAGTCCACCACCAGTTTGTGGTTCTTCCTTCCACTCATCCATTTCCATGCACTTTTCAGCCATTGAATAAAGCGGTTCATTTATGAATGAAATCAAGGAACTACGGAAACCAGCCAAGCGAAAAGGTGCAACTCGAGTGATCATCAGTTCATTCAAGAGAAACATATACTTCATCGATCTCATCGATTTCTCTTCCAAACAAGACAAATGGATTCAGGAAGTGTTGGGCAGACAGAAGAGTACAGGATTCCACAAGAATCGTGGATACAAGTATGTCCTTGTATGCATTGATGGATATTCGAAATACTTGATGGCTCGGCGACTGAAAAGCAAGAGTGCCACAGAAGTCACGCATGCGATGAAGGATATCATTCAAACATACGGTGCACCAAAGCATATTTGCTCTGATCGAGGTACCGAGTTCACCAATGCCATCTTTCGTACCAACATCTTGGACAAGTACGACATCACCATGTATCACATGGATTCAGCGAATAAAGCAGTACTAGCCGAACGAGCAATTCGAGATATCAAGGAAGACATCATGGTTCCATTCAATCAATCGAAAGGTGTGTGGTTCGACTTGATCGATGGTGCCGTTCGTAGACACAATGCAAGGAAGAACAGAGACACCGGATATGCACCCACTGACATTTGGAACAACAACATCTTGTACACGGAGAAGACAGAACCATCCAACATGACAGCGAAGGACACAACACCTCAATTCGATGTGGGTGATTATGTTCGAGTGACACGAAGACCTCGCGTTCTGGAAAAGCGATCATTGACGAGCAAATGGTCTCAGGACTTGTATGAAGTTGTTGACATTGACGATCGATTCATGCCATTGATGTACGAAGTGAAGAATATGGAAAGCGGTAGCAAGCAGAAGTGCTATCACTGGGAACTCCTGGCAAGCAAATGCAAACCACAGCCAGCACCTCCAGTCACTCGATCCAAGAGTCGAAAGGAACCCAATGCATTGAGAGATGCAGCAAGGTCACATCGACCCATTACGAGGAGTCAGAATGGGACGACGAAGTGGGGCGACAAAGTCGCCCCGGGAAGCCTTCGCCTTCCCACGAAGTCGTCCCGGCGGAACTTTGTTCCGCCACAGAAACAACGTCGCCTAAATGTTCGAAAACGATCGTGATGCTCTTCACACCACCTAGAAGCATGAGAGGAAGATTCGAATACGTACGAAGGACAGGAGAGTTGTAGGGGGAAGCGTTGCTTCCCCCAATATTCACAACAGCATAACCAGTATGAGACACAAGACTATTCAATGTATCGATGTACGGTCTGTCTAGGATAGGCGTGTTGTCAAACGTGACTAGCACTCGATAACCCTTTTCAACCACGGATTCGATTGACGTGCAATCGTTGAACATGTCGTCAGGAAGGTACGTTATGACAGTCGTGGTTATCAGGTACGATCCGGACGGCATAGGCGGCATACCATCACCACCCCATTCGCTATTGAATGATTCGGTAGCTTCTGGCGTGTACTCGAAGACAAATGCTTCGTTCGCTTTCACAATGTAGGAAGGAGTACTACCCCACGAGTACTGAGGAACACCATCCACTGTCTCTCGAATTAGCACATGATGACCGTCCTTCTCTGGCATGTTGATGAGCATGTTGTCGAGCTTCTTGAACGTGTAGTTGTTTCCATTGCTGCTGAAAATGTACGACATTTACTTTTTTATTTACTTTGTCTTTGATATGCACGAACGTACACACCCTTCAAACACGCGCCATCATCGATGAACAGATCGGACAACTCGGGAGGCACTTCATCATCCACCACCTTGAAGACCACGCGTACATAGTAGTTGGAGAAGAAGTAAACAGCACGATTCTCAGTCATTACACCGATGATGTGAGGAGGCAGTGAGTTGCCCCTCCAAAACACGTTCAGAGGCACACCGAGCAGACCGTTGGATTTCAATTGAGGCAATAGATACTCCCATTCATCCTCGGTAAACAAGGGTGGACGAGTTTCATCCAACGTCATCTCGATGCAATCATAGTCGTGCAAGATCAAACCACAGTTCACATTTGCTTGCGGAGTGCAAACACTGAAACCGAATAGACGCTCGGAATTGATCGGATACTTGGTGTGAATGATGATGTCGGCGAGTTCGATATTCTCGTCCTCACAAGTGCGTACCAGGGAAGACCATGTGTTGTTTTCTGTTTTCTTGTACTTCATTTAGGGAAGCATCTAGGGTTAAAAGAGAAAATATAAATATATAAATATATAAATGAATAGACCTACTCACACTTTGAACCCCAACACAGGACGAGAAATTCAAATCAACGGAGTTCGCTTCTGGAACCTTCTCAAGCGTGGATACAAGTACGACGAGAAATTGAATCGCTTGTACGACAAACCATTACCACCAGATACGACGAAATATGTTCCCAAGTCGAGAATACTTTCTCCCAGCAATCGCTCCATGATTATTGGTGGCACAGCATACTACGAGTTACTCCATGACAACTACAGACGCGTAAAAGGACAATGGGTGAAAATGACCAAAGAAGAAGCTGAGGCATACGATAATGATCCAGACATTAGCATTGCATTCGCTGACCCCAATTCTAGTGATTCTGATTCATCGGAATCCGAGTTCTACGACATCGATGAATTCGAGTACGATGCGGATGGTCATGCCATTTTTCCATTCTAGGGGACCAACATGGGGAAGCGTAGCTTCCCCGGGAGACGACTTCGTCGTCTCCCCAACAGTCTCCTAACTTTTTCACTTTGGTCACGCGTGTATCATCACTTAAAAACTTTGTGACCCTTATATAAATGGATTCACAACGCGAAGGATATACTATCAACCCTGAAACAGGAAAACAAATCAAGATCGGTGGGCCGACCTGGAAGCGATTGGCCGCCACGTACTACAGGGTCGGTGATACGTTCACCGATCAGACCATGCCTGACACGAGAGCTTATGTGTCGAACAAGATATTCGGGATGAAACTAGCAACACCAAAAAGACAAGTGACACATAGACGCGTCAGTGATCCCAAAGGTGAGCGCAGGTATCTCGTCGTGGGAAGCGAGGCGTGGAACGAGCGGTACCTCGAGTACGAGTGGAACGGCCATGAGTTCGGTGAGAAGCGACAACGTCACTTACCCGGTTACCTGAACACCGTGGAGAAGAGACGTGAAATGAGACGCAATAAGGCATTCGAACGCTTCGATCGCAAGGTCTCACAAGGACGATTGAGTGATGTGATCGATTCAACTCTCGGGTATGCACTCACGTATTATCACACCGTGCAAGGAGACATGTACAAGGAATGGGTGAAAGAGAAACGAACCAAGAAGGACTTCCGTCTCAACAACGATTTTGACAACAGGTTGTGGGTTCGACTACCGGGTGAGAAGAGCGATGAGGAAGTGGAACCGATCAATCTCATATTCGATGAGACAAATGAATTCAATGAGGTCCTGAAGAAGTTCATCCTCAATGGTATGCGTGAATACAATCAGTGTTTCATCACCATCATGGGGTACAACCTCATGTTGACACATGACGGAGATCCCAAGATCCTCAACCTCACCGATGATCGATTGGGACACCTCCGCATCGTTCGACGAGATCGCATCGATGAATGGATCGAGGAGTACCTGAAATGGTACCGAAACGGTGTAGAGGAACAGGAGACAGAGGGAAGTGGGTTCGTGTACCATGGTTGGATCGGCTTCCACATTGAGATGTTCCCACTACGCTCATTCGTGGGGTACAAGCAGCACACACCGTACGTCATCGGACGCACAGCGCTCAACCCGGATTTCGATGACAACCGGTGCCTGCAGCGGTGTCTCATTCTGGCCAGTGAAGGTGGGCACAAGATCGTCGCGAATTGCAAGATTGGCGATGCAACCGTGTACAACAAGTGGTGGAAGCACCCTGAGAAGAACAAGGTGTTCGGAGTGACAATTCACGAGGTAGAGGAGGCGATGGGCATTCGCGACAACGTCCCATTCGATGCGAGTGAAGAGAAATTCGCCGCATTGGAGGCATTGTTGAAAGTATCGCTCAATGTATTCGAGGTCACACTCTTGCCTGGATACACCGATAAGACGAAGGAACAATTCGACTTATTCACATGCGATGTGGTGTACAAAGGTAAGGAGAAATCACGTTCCCCTCTCTCCCTCTGCATCTTGAACGACTTGAATCTACCTGAGGGCACTCCAAAGCACTTCTTGTACATCAAGGACTTGAACGACTTCAAGCATCGTATGATGCGACGAAGTGATGCGAAGAATTGTCATACATCGAGAAACGCAAAGTGCAGGTTCTGTAACGACTTCTTCGGGTCTCGCAAAGACGTTCATGCTCATGAAGTACAGGTGCACCGAGAACTCGTTGATGAAAGCGAGCAGTACGACTTGTCAACCAATGAGACTCGGTTACGATTCACCTTCCAGCGATACGAAATGCCAGCACCGGTCGTCGTGTACGCTGACTTCGAGTCGGCCATTGACGACAAGAACAGACACAAGCCGATCATGTTGTCCTGTCTTGCCGTGTCACGCATTCCTGCCATTGATATGCAGCTCCGTATCTTCCGTGCACCACGGGAGAACGAAGAGGACCTTCGTCCTTTCGTGGACTATCTCGTGCAATTGCGGGAGAGTGTGAAAGGGTATCTCTTCGATGAATTGCCATTGGAGAGCACATCGAAGGTCGAGAGGGACTTTCGTGCAACAACCGTGTGTCCCTTCTGTCATGTGAAACTGGAGAACGACAAGGTACGTCATCATGCACATGTGGCAGGTGAATACACCACAGGAAAGGGAGAAGTACGCCACTTCGAAGCCGGGCAATACATCTGCACCTGTTGTACCAAGTGCAATCTCCAACTCTCATTCAACAAGAAGAACTATCGTCTGCCAGTTTACTTCCACAATGGATCGCACTACGACTTCACATTCATCATGAAGCTCATCGCGACGATGCCTGGCGGGAATCTCGAAGTCATTCCAACCACTGAAGACAAGGAGATGCAGATCGAGTACAACGGCATTCAATTCAAGGACTCGTTGAAGCTCATCAGCAGTCCACTGCGTTCCATTGTGGCTCAGACACTCGGAGGCAACCTCGATTTGTACGTGCACACCAAACAACAACTACGCAAGTACTGCGAGTCACGTGGCAAGCAATGGAGTGATGAATACATCGATCTGTTGACACGGAAAGAACCAATGTTCTACAGTCTCATCAAATCGTACGACACATTGAACAACACCGTCATTCCTTCTCGCAAACAATGCATCGATGATATGAAGGGTGAGATGATGCCCCAAGACGAATATGATCACATGGTGAAGCTGTGGAAGACCTTCGATATCAAGACATGGGGTGAATACTACGAGTTGTACAACGTACTCGATGTGACTCTCATGGCTGATGCATTCGAGCACTTCCGAGTTACCACACTGAATGCATTCGGTGTTGATCCGATGCACTACATCACAGCACCACAAATGGCCTATTCGCTCTTCTTAAAGGTCACAATGGAGGGCGATCATAGCGAGAGTAGCCTCATGACCCTCGCAAGGAAATGGGCTCAGTACATCATGCGCATCAACGCGAATGAGGGACTTGAGGAGAAACAACTGGTGAAAGTGTTCTTGAATCGCATGGGTGAGTTCTATGAAAGCAAGGGAATTCGATTGATGGAGACGAGTGAGATCGACGACTTCATGCGATTGTTGAAGAACCTGCGAGGAGGCATCACACAGATCGTGAAACGACATGCCAAAGTCGACCTTGACAGCACCGCCAACAACGGAGAACAATCATCCATCTACTACCTCGACGCCAACAACCTGTATGGTGGAGCCATGCACAGAATGATGCCTTACGAATTAGTGGGTGTACCCGAACGACGAGAAATAATGGAAAGGATCAACCGTGATCCGAATGGGTGGGTACAATCACTCAAGACATTCGGTAAGTATGGGTTCTTCATCGAATGCGATATCGAGGCACCAGTGGAACTCCATGATAAATTCAATGACTTGCCATTCTTCCCCGTACAGAAGGCGGGCATGTACTCAGACGGAATCAAGAAGTACGCAGCGAAGAACGATATTGTGGACAAGGTGAAAGAGGTGAATACACCGAAACTCATTTGTGATCTTGTACCTCGACGCAAATATCTCGTACACTACTCTCTGTTGCAATTGGGTCTTCAACAGGGTTATCACGTCACGCACATCCACCGTATCATCCGTTTCAAACAAGCACCCTTCATCTTCGAATACGTCAATATGCTCAGTGAAAAACGAGCCAAATCAAAAACCACCGTAGAAAAGAACCTGTACAAATTATTAGCAAACTCGACCTATGGAAAATTCGTGGAGACTGGGTTGAAGCGAATGAAGGTAAAGTTCGCTAGCACGTGGAATGAACGTGAGGCCATCATCCAGAAGCACGGATACGACATGATCGCAGGAACCACCATGTATTCCGAGAATCTCATCGGCATTAAGCTGAACACACCGGTGCGCAAGGTAGAGAAGCCTTTCTTCATCGGGTTCGCTATTCTCGACATGTCGAAGCACATTATCTACGACTTCTATTACAATGTGCTCAAGACCACATTCGACACCGTGGAGCTGTTGGGACAGGACACGGACTCACTCATCGTACAACTGAGCGATCGTGGTAACATCGTTCACAAGATGTGCGATATGTACAAGTCGTTTGACTTTTCTGAGTTGGATAACACGAGCTACTTCTACGGAGAACTCGTAAAATACTACGAGCATGAAGTGGACAAGAGCAAGTTCCCTTCATTGGACTCGTTCCTCAATTTCAACAAGAAGTTGCCTGGTCCTATCTTCAAGGACGAGCACAACGGACATCGTATCACTGAGTTCGTGGGACTTAGACCAAAGATGTACTGCTTGGTCGATGAGAAGCATGTGATACACAATGCAGCAAAGGGAGTTCCTCGCAACGTCGTGATTGACGGTGAGAGAATGAGCGTGAAGAACATCGAGCTGTACAAGCGCGTCCTTGAAGCAGAGAAGAAAGAAGATGCAGTGATCGAGGGCAGCTTCAAGCGCATCAACAACCAGGCCTTCAATATCAGCACGAAGGAGCAGACCAAGACACTTATGACTTGCACAGACAACAAACGTTGGATCTTGGACGACAATGTGCACACACTGGCATTCGGGCATTATAAACTGAAGTAAAGGAAGCAATCTTTCACTTTGGACAACCATGGATACCATGGCCTACAATGGAAGTCAGGTTAACATTGGCCGAAATTGGCAGTCATGGGTTTTCGCGCGTTTCTTGTTATGGACAATACGGTAGCCAGGCAGGCAATGGCAGAAAAAAAGTTCACCGCGGTTATTTGGTAGGAAATGGATTTCCGCGTGTTTTACGCCATGGCTATCGAGGTGGTCAGGAAGACAATGGCAAAAAATGGCAAAAATGGTCGAAAATGGTCGAAAATTGATTTCCGCGGTTATTTGGTAGGAAATGGATTTCCGCGTGTTTTACGCCATTCCCCTACTACTGTAGCAACGTATTCATCCATTCTTTACTGAAGGAGTATAGCACGAAATCGTGAATGAGATGTACACATTCGAATTCAATGAGATCGGACGGTCATTCGCGTCTGTCAGTACCCAATCAATGTAGTCCAGGTTCGATTGTTCAATCACATCGATCGATAGGTTGTGACAGGTGATCATGTTGTTCAGTCCCATCGATACATGAATCAGGTTATCGATCAGCGGACTCTTCAGACCGAATGTTTGAGCATTGATACTACTGTACACTCGGATCACACTCATGCCATTCGTGATGTCGTAGGGTTCCTCTGGTTATTAACACCTCGTGTGAGTATGTCCCCGCATCGATTAATATCACTTGATCGCACACATCTTCGATCGTCAATTGGAGTTCGAATTCGCCGTTCAATCGCATGATATTGCCATCCATATCGCGGAACACGAACATCAATCGATCGAATCGGTTATCATGGGAATGCAGATGTCTTCCACGGTGCGGAGATAATTAACCTCGGGATCGTCAATAATCATTGTGGTGAGCAGGTTGTTGTTCTGGTTGGCAATCTTCAGATCCGATGATCGCACGAGAGACGAGTACACTTGAATCACTTGTCGATTTCGCGTGATATCAATCACGTTCGATCCATAGAACGAAGCGGGTAGAATGACCATTTGCCCTTCCAAACCGAGGATTTCTCGAATATCCGAAGCATTGGTGAAATCGATGGTGTGTGTGGACTGGATATAAATACACCCATAACTCGAAGCCTTCATAGATATCGAGAACGTAGTATTAGTCATGGTGTTGAGCATGGCAATGATTTAACAGATCGTGTAGTATCCAGGAGGAATCGTTAGCTCTTCGTCATTGGAGTTCGTGACCACAATCGTAGAATCCACATTGTTGAACATGACTTGATTGGGTGTGAACAGGACAGTCAAGGAAGTGATGTAGGGATTCTGATACTTGTACGAGTTGATCTATTCGAACTTGCCTTGACTAGGTGAACCTTGGATAAGCATGGAGTAGCGCATGATATCTTCATCCTCTGAGGAATATAATGAGCCTGTCCCTATTACTTAAAAGTAGTGCGTAAATGGCGCACAGATACAGGAAAAAAACTTCCTCACCGACGTGAAGCGGCACGGGTAGCCCGGAAGCAAGGAAGAGAGAGGAGGGAACCGTAGGCTCCTACCTTGGTCGAAATCGGCCGAAAAGGGCGGCCATAGTGTTTCGCGTAACATGCGCCATTCACATACTACTTTATTCACCTCCAATAACTATATAATACTATGATCCTTTTTAATAAAGAATATAAATAGATAAGACAGTACTATGCTCTTTATCTTTTTGGAATAATTTTCAATCCCTTCATGGCGAATGGGAAAATCTACAGTTTGGGGTATCTATCGTTTTGATGATCAGAAGGAAAAAGTTAACAAATCTACTCAAACAAAAGCAATTAGCGATTACCTGAAGTAATGGAAGACGCTTAGAGGTGGACAAAATAGGATGGAATACAAAATTCAAAATGAAAATAAGGCAGTACAGTTACAAACTGTTGCTGAAACCTATTTTTGGCTCTTTCTTTGTTTCTGAAAGAAAAATAAAGAATAAGGCTATCTTGATTTCAGCAATAAAACATCGATGGGAAGAAACACTTGGCATTAAGAAATGATCTATTAAATACAATATTGTCAAAGAGAGATATATTATATACAAAGGAAATAATACTCAATATTATAAATAGAATATATTTACGGAAAATCATGGTAAAACAAACCCAGCAAAAATAAACAGGAACCATAATAACCCTTTCCAACTATTTGAACCTAGAATAATACTCACAAGAGGAATCCATTGCCAAAAATGCGCACAAGCAAAGTAAAAATAACCTCCTTACCAAACACATACTTAAAGAATGCTATCATTACATTACATTGCAGACAATACTCTCTCCCCATGGTATTACCTAATAGACCTTATAAATGTAAACAAACAGAAGACTGTAGCATTCACAACAGCCATTTAAGTATATAGAAGGCTAACAAAGATTATATAGTTATTTGTTTACTTCACTAATATAACAGACAAAAAGGAAACAATACAAACAATAAAATGAAGTATAGGAATTTAAAAAAAAACAATGGTATTAAACAACTAATCTCAATATCTTCTCTTTGTTTTACAAGTAGTCAATACGAATCACAATTATTAAGATACACCGATATTCAAATTATTATCCATTGAAAATACCAAATGAAAGAAGTGCCACGATATATTGTACAGATAACGATGACTATGAGTATTCACATAATAAGGGCAGTCGATTAGAATATGAAACAGACATGCATGACCTGAAGTATGAATTAGACTTCTATATACCTCAATTTAAAAAATCAACAAAAAAGGAATATGTGCAATTTCAATAAACAATATGCATTTAAAAAAGGCTTACCTAAATTGGGAAAATATGGAACACTGTGTTTAAAATCTGAAGTAGATATAGCAACGCAAAATAGGTTGAGGTCAAAAATATGTGTGTATTTACAATAATTAGGAAGAAATGAGCAAAGGTAATAATCTTTCAAGATAATTGGTTCAGAAGGTTTGGTGCATCAAATAAGTTTGAATCATGAATAATGGTTGGATGCACTAATACTATCTCCCAATAATTCTACTCACGACAGAATTTGCATTACACAAACAATATTACTTTAAATAAAGTTTCATTATGAAGTTGATTGCTTTTGCTTTGGTTTGCACGCTTATTTTCTGTAGTATCCTGGCATTTGACCTAATGACTAGCCACGGTTACGAGTGATTGCACCGCAGGAGAAGTTGCTTTAACTTTCCAACGAACTACAAAGTCGTTTGCCTATAATGAAGAATCGCTGAGCATTTATGCTGGAACCTCGGCTACCGGAACACCTATTTATTCCGAGGTGAATTCACAAATGATTAATAATAAAGTTTATGATCCTACTGATCACTGCTTGGCTCATGGAACGTATTATGTACAAATGCGAGACTCTTATGGAGATGGATGGACTACTGGCTCAAAACTCTCCATTAAGCAAGGAGGTGAAGAAATTGTTCAAGTTGTATGGACTTGTGGCGGCTCTTATAATAATCGTGTCTATACTTGTAGTCAGACATTTACGATTGAGGCTCCTTCTGCATGGCAGTATTCTTCGACTGCCCAAACAAGCTCTTCTTGGACTACTGGAGAGTTGGATTGGCCTAGTTATGTTGGAAATTATCCTGCTCCTACTACTACGACTCGTTACTTCCGTCGTTCGATTCAAATGACTGGAACCGATAATTTTGGTATCCGTGTTGCTCTTACAATTAATGGTGGCGCTGTTGTATATGTAAATGGTCAAGAGCTTACCCGATGGAATCTTCCTGACGGAGGGATTTCCTCTTCTACTGAAGCAACTGTCTCGACAACTGGTAAACACACTTATGTTCAGCTTTTGGCTGCAATTCCTACACCTGAAAACGATACGTATGTTATTGGTGTTGAAGTGCATTCTGGCTCAAGTGCTCCAAGTGCTGAAGAGTTCCAATGTAGTGTTTCCTATTTGAATGAAGATTATCGTCTCATTGATTCTGATGGATCTTATTATTGCATTCCTGATAATCCTAACAGACCAAGTGAAAATGGAGCCAAGTTATATGATGGAAGTACTTCTACTAAATGGTGCGTTAGTGTTTCTTCTGCATCTTTCCCTACTACTCACATTTGGACGTTTGGTAACAACGATCGCTTGGTTGTTAACAAGTATGCGTTTTCGACAGCTAACGATTTTGATATTCGTGATTGTGTTAATTGGGACATTTTTGGCTCTAATGATGGAAGCCAGTGGGATCTTCTCGATACTCAGAGTGGTATAACATGGACTGCGCGTTACCAGACTAAGTACTTTGAGATAGAGAATCAGCTTGCTTATAACAAATACAAATGGCAGTGCAATGCTGTGAAATCTTTATCTGGATTTTATGGTAATGTTATTCAGATGTCTGAGTGGAATTTGCTGTTCACTGGTGCTGCTTACGTTCCTCCAGGCATTTCGTATCCTCAGGATGTTTATTCCTGGTCGGTGGGTATCGATAATGTGAACATTACTCCTGGTAAGTCTGGTTACACGAACTGGCAGATTGCTGGAGCTGGTGGCGCTTCTCTTCCTGCTGGTCTGAACTTCGATAGCACGAGTGGTGCTATTACTGGTATTCCTACGGAGGGTTTGGAAGAAACTGTGTTCACTGTGTCTGCGACGTATTCTGTGGACAGTCAGGTCTACACTTGCACGATTACGATTACTGTTTTGTCTTGCGATCTGCCCAACTACATTTCGGTTTCAGTGGAGAAGGTGAACTACAATACCGCCTCTGAGACTTGGACGATTAAGAACAGTGAAGGACAATCGGTTCTTGCATCGAGCAACACGGAGAGTTTGGTGGGTACTTGCTTGCCTGTTGGTGAATACACGGTGACGATGACGAGTTCTTCGGGTACGACATGGCAGAGTACTTCTTTGATGACGATTAATGCTCTTGCTGACGGTCATTCGTTTGTTTTGGCGAAGACTCGTCTGAAGATTGAAGGTGAGGATTCGTTTGTGTTGCCGATTGATCTTCCTCTGCTTCCTGCTTCGGCTGGTTCGTT